GGTTCACCAAAAAATGGTAATTCACATGACAAGGAACATACTCGTGAAAAGGAAACGGTTTTATAATCTGAAGACGGCTAAACATGATGGGAACGTTTAGATTAGTTATTTGAAGCAAAAATAATTGAGATAAAGATTAAAGTGCGAATTAAGTTTGAGAATGTGAAAATTAACGGAAACATTGCAAATGATGAATCATTAAGAAGAAATCTTTAGTATAATTATTTGGTTTGGCTATGTGATAAATATTGGATTGAAATTAATTTCGAGAAGTTTCGAGTTTGTTCTCGACATTCATATTTCTGAAAGGATCAATGAGAAAATGATTATGAGAAACAAAAAAACACTAATGACTACTTATTACTTAAGTCGTATTATAAATTTCATGATTAATTTTCCAATATCATTTACCATATTTTCTGTCAAATTTTTTTTATTAATTTACAAATTACTGTTATTGTTGCTTTTTGAAATAGTTCTTTAAGCGAACATATCTGCTGAAAGTTATTTTATCACATGGTGTAAATCAATCGCAGTATATTACTGCATGATTTAACGTTTGATTCGCTTTCCCAAATATCATTTTATATGTTTATTAATCATCTTAATTTTCTTTTATATTTCATTTGCACCTAACACTGCTAATCGCCATTCATCAAACAAAGCATTTGAATCGTTCAGAGTGTTTTAAATAATATTTAAAATTTGGCTGATCAACGATAGAATGGAACAATCTCGACTGATACATTTTCTTCCCATTTTTTTAAGTCCTACTGATAGACACATATAATATAGCGCTTTCGCTAACACATAATTCATTTTAAGAAAGGTTATTTGAAAACAATCTCTTTTTATAAATTCATAAGAAATAAAAATTCTAATAAAATTACAGATCGCCTTTTTTTTTACTATCACAGATTTTAGATAAACCGTTACATCGATTTTCTTTCAAAATTAAGTTTAAAATAAAGTGATAAGTACAAAATTCACTTTTACAAACTGTTTGAAAAACTTGCAATGTCAAAATTTACTGTTCCATATAAGGCTTTCTTTTATTATTTCTGAACTTC